TGTATCATTTCTTTTATACTCTTGTCTCTCCATTGCTTGGAACAATATCTGAGACCTAGAAAACATGCAAATATTTATTGAATAGACAATTTTTTTCATGTCCCAAAGTATACAATCCTAAAGGGAGAACTCCTAGACTTTTCAGTTGTATGAGTTAGTATATTATCCTACTTTAAAACAGCTGAGTTTTGATGTCTAGCCTGAAGAATCCTTGAACTGAATAATCCTGTGATCATGTTTTCCATGCCACAGCCTTACTACCTAGCTCATCAAAAGAAAAGAAAACCCTCAAAAACTCAAACTCATTGCTATCGAGTGGATGATGCTGACTCTCAGTGACCCTCTAGGACAGGGTAGAACTTCCCGCTGTGGGTTCCTGATACACTAACTCTCTATGGGTGTGGAAAGGCCCATCTTTCTCCCTCAGAGTGGTTGGTGATTTCAAACTGCTGACCTTCCAGTTAACAACCCAATCTGTAACCACTACAGCACCAGGGCTCACTTTCTGCTCTCGAGCTCTCTTCCCGTCTTTGATTCCCCTCTCCTTTTCTCTCCACCACCTATTTGACTTGTTATGAGCCCGGCCATTGCTCATAGCTGGTCAGATGGGTGCTGGAGGGAAAAGGAGAAGAGAATAAGAGAGGAGAAGAGAGCACAAGGGCAGAAGGGGGGTGACAAAGGCAGATAGAAAGAGGGACCAATGAAATAACAGAAGGATCTGCCTATGGTTGGATGTGAGAGGGAGAAGCACAAGGTCTACTCCCATCTCTACTCACCGATGGCCAAGGTCATCACTCGGAGTTGGCTGCGTACCAATTTCACCACTTCACTTTTCTGCAGAGGCGTGGCTCGGCAACAGACCACAGCTTGACACCAAGCAGTCAGCTCTAGGAACTGCCTTTGAAGACTCTCTTGCAGGGCAAACTCTAGGGTCTTTCCAGTGATAACAAGCGCCGCCCGCAGCCTCAAGTCCTGGGGGCCAGGAGGTTGGTGGGAATATGCAGTCAACGGTACTTGCTCTGAAGAAGCACCGAGGTTCTTCTGAAGTTCCTTCAGAATGGTGCTCATCAGCGTCTCACAGGTGTCCTTGAAACAAGAGACAAAGAAGGTCAACACGTGGGGCTCCAAAGTGACCACTTCCACCTAAATTTATCATTTCCATTCTTTATCAATTGCTGCATCAAGGCAACCCCAGAGAAGAATAATCTGTTCTTATCAAAGACTTCACAGGTCTTCCCATGGGGTACTGTGTGGATGTTGGGATGGGTTAAAAGGCGGAGGGGCTATCTCAACCTCAACTCCTGATGTGTGCAATTTGTCTTTTCAAACCGCGAATCTCAAAAGTGCTTTGCTCTTGTTCTGCCGTTTACTAGGAGCATCTGCTGGACTTTAGGCAAATTATATAACCATAACCGCTCTGACCTTTAGTTTTGTCATCTGACAAATGGGAATATTATCGGCAGCAACATGTTATTGTGAGGAATAAGTGAATTGATAGCTACAGGGCTCTTCGTGGAGAGCATGCCCACAGCAGACATGGACAATCGTCTTTATTGAGTTTATCTTCTCTTTGATTCAATACATTATTCATTCATCACTAAGTGTTTATGGAGAATTTACCATACATTAGGAACAATTCAGGGTCCTACGGATATATCAATGAACTCATAAGGTCGCACCCTGATGGGGCATCAAGCTGATCTGGGTTTCTTCAGGGTGTTTGCCCAGAGGTCTATGCAAGGTAAGGCAAGTCCGGCTCTACGCACTACTTGAGTAGCTCCCACGAGCAGTTTCTATTCATATGCCAGGTTTCACTGGAAGCTGGGGGAGGGCATTGAGCAATTTAGAACTAACTGCCATAAGGGCTGTTTGAGATAGCTTTCTGTGCTCATCCCGTGTGGGTTGTGCAATGCTTTCCTCTTACCCTGCTAATCAGAAAGTCCTTGAAAGGCAGAGAAGAGTCTCAATTTACTCATGAAGACTGATTCCAGAGGTCACGTTACAGCAGGTGCCCAATGACTACTTGTTGGAGGGTTTAACCATACACTTATCCAGAAATTATCTTGTAAGTGATCACTAAAGGCCAGCTAATATATCCAGGAGCATGCATTTAATTTTACGCACTAAATCTGAAATATTTTATTCATGCAAGAAGCCCTTAATCAGAGTCCATTCAGTCTAATTTTATATTCTGTTTTGTCAAGTAGTATTTCTCAGGCTACCACAAAATAAAAGGCATAGGATAGAGTGGATTCATGGGTATCGGCACGGCACCACAGAGCCTTAATAACCCTTGCAACGGATGAATTGGGTTCTCCCCAAACATGTGCTTATCGGTCCATTTAAGAATCAGCTCTATTTGTTGTTGGCGAGACAGAATCCATGCAGTGTTTTAAGTCAACCTCCTTTTGACTTATTGAATATTCAAAATGCTCAACAAGCAATGAGAGAAACCGCAATGAAGGAAGAGAGATGCCAATACATAGGAACGTTGCCCCGGAGCCGAAGCTCAGGAGACAGGACCGGACACCTTCAGAGCGGACACCTCCAGACTGGACACCTCCAGACCGGACACCGAGAGAAAGCCTTCTCCCTGGTTCACCACCCTGATTCCAAACAGCTGGCCTCAGAACCTTGAGAAAATAGATTTCTGCATGTTAAAGGCACTCCTTGTGATTTTCCTGGCATAGCACCACTTGATAACTAAGACAGGCATCTTAATTTGAAATGAGGTTCTCAGTATGAAAATGGAGCTCAGACCATCCTTATTTTAGGAACAAGTGATTCTACACACCTCAAAAATCCAAAGGAAAAGCGAACACAGATGAACTAAATTGTTCATTATGGGCTTAATATGTAAAACAAAATGTATTTATATTTAAATATATACCTCTTTATATAGATATAAAAACCTATTGGGGTTAGTTAAATGAAGATGATAA